CAGCAGGCTGGCTGGGGAATTCTGGGAGTTGAAGTCCACCCATGTTCAGGTTGCCAAGGTTGAGAAACACTGGTTAAGAGGCTCACAGCATTTTGGTCTAGTTTGGCCTTATTCCTTTAAATAGCTGCTAGTGCTCCCACATGTACCTTTTTAAAACCATGCTACGAAACCAAGATACGAAATGGAAAAAATTGACCTCAGGTGCTCTGGGCAAAGATGCATATATTATTTGCACAGCTGGGTAAAATGACAGCAAGAGTGGGCAAGTTTCTTCTGACATTACATGGCGTGACAGGTGAGAGCTGGTTGAAAACACAATGCAATTTAATGAAAAGCAACTCAGCCCTGTAAGAGCCTTAAATACACCTGTAATTTTACAAATTTGGATGGAGAAGTAACTCCAAACACAACAAATGTTGACGCACATTTTAAAAGCAGGAAGCATGACTCAAAGGTTCATCTTTTGTGTGTACTCTTGCACACAGAATAGCCAATCCAGGTTTCTTTTCATAGCAGAAAAGCCAAAAACTATATTCCTAAATTGCTAAAGCAGAACGGAGCTGTCATAGTCAACATTAACAAGACACAACAAAAATGTAGCCGTAAAGCGAAGCACCTCTATTAAAAGCACTTTACACCCAGAGTGTCCAAGAATTAGTCATTCCCGTTCCTTGTTTTCTCCTTTCAATTGCTAATCGAAAGAACCTTATGCCAAGCACCAATGCCAAATTATACAGCTTCCATTTCTACCGTTCTTGGAACATCAGCGTAACTTCCAGAAATCTGCGTACGCGACTAAAATACATGACTAAAAAGTAGAGGTCTGGAAAAAAAGTTTATTAAAATTACAGCAGTTCCATAGAAAATATATATACACGAAGATCAGGCATACCGTTTGGGAAATGGTTGGCTTAGTCATGAAAAAAACCAGGGTCGAGGCTTGCAAGACGTTAGCTACTGTGGTGGCAGTTCCAGGATGGCTCCAAAGGAGGTCAGCCATCAGGGAACCGCACAGAAAAGGGTGACCCCTTGGGCCCCTCCAGGTGATGGGGGCCACACACAGAATTTCCCAAGCGCTCAGAAACCAGATCCCAGTCCACGTCAGCTCTTCAAGTGTGAATCTCGGGGAGCGAGTATGTTTGCAATCCGGAAGAGAAGTCCTTCTCCCAATCCCCTGCAAAAATGCCCCCTCCAAAGCCTCAGTAGCCCAAACTAGGTAAAATGATCCTTGGGGACAATGCTGAGCTGGGGGTCCAGTTCGTCCTCGCAGAGCTAGTCCACGGGCACCGGGTTGAAGACGGGGGGCAGCACCCGCTTGGAGTTGGCTTTCACCCAAGGGTGCTCCATCACAGCTTGTAGCGGGAGACGCTCAGCTGGGTTGTGGCGCAGCAGCTTCGAAATCAAATCCCGGGCACCTTCTGTCACAAGCGGTGGGAACTTGAGATCTACCTGTGGAGAAGGGAGGGAGGCAGAGCCAAGGTGAGGGCACAACCACAACAGGAAGGCATGGAGGAGCCGGCAGACTGAACAAGCAAAGCTGGTTTTAACTTAGCAGGTGGCCTGAAACCCAGGCAATGTGGTTGGTTCAAAAGCAGAAAATTGGGTTACCTGATCATCATGAGCAAACATGTCTGAATACAGGCTTCTTATCCTAGAGAACACTTCTCTGGACCTTGTTTCAAAGCAGAAAAGCTAGCAAGGTTAATTTCTGTTTAACACTTAACGGGCATGAGATGCCCAGAAATCACACGGAGCCTGTTGTCTCAGGTGGCGTCCACCTGCCACTATTTTGTTCATCGCTGCAAGATGCTCGCCTGCCCTTAAAGCTGTTTGCATCCAATGAAAAAAAGGAAAAGGGGAGGAGGCAGCTTTGCAGCACCCACGCGCTGTTTGTCCTCTTCCCACCCCAAAGAAAGCACGAACAGAACTTGAGTGTCCACTGGTGGAGGTCTCTATATAGTCCTCTTTTGGAGAAAAGGTCCTCCAAATGGAGAATCCACTTTGGCCTAGTTGTGTTCCTTCCATGGGGTGGGTTGCTTAATTGGCTGGGTTTTTTGCTTTTTTTTTTAAATTCATTTGACTAATTTACATGGTTGCCCACTTGCCAAGTATCTCTGGACGGCTTACAAGAGTTAAATGCATGATATACGAAGGAAGAATATTCAGGTGTCGTACCACAAAGGACTTCATAGGCGACCATCAGCACCTTGAATCACACCTGGAAGCTTACTGGTAACCAGTGCAGCCTACATGGTAGTAGTGGGGGTACGTGAGCGT